TAAAATCATTTTAAAAAATGTGCTATCTCTTAAAATCTGGCTGTCCCGGCTGGCCTGGGGTTAAAGACTCTAACCCCTACTCGAATTGTATGACTGTTGAGTTCTTAAATGATGTAGTGCCTTTATGTTGTAAATTGTTTGTCCTCCCCCCCTCCCTTTTGAACTGTGAGTGGCCCTGAGTCCCCCCAGGGAAAAGGGCGGCATACAAATAAAGTGAAAACTAAACTAAACTAAAACTTTTGGGGGTGGACTTATTTTGGGGGGAGGGTTATTTTAGCACATGCGCTCAAAAGCCCATTTGTGCTTTTTATCCAGGGAGGTCTTATTTTTAGGGAAACAGGGTAGCAGTTTCTGCACAACTGAATGTGCTATGTGTCTATTTTTTAAAACGAACCTTTAGAAAGTATAGAAATTATGATACTGCTCCTTTCATGCTACACAGTAAATATCTATCATTTATTATTATTTCTTTCTTTATTTTCCTTTTCAACTCTTTTCCCCTTCCATATACCTTTTTATGTATGATTCAGTTCAGTGGTGGGTTGCTATTTGTTTTTACTACCTGTTTGCTCATGTGCATGCGCACTCACATGCTGCTTTTGCACATGTGCAGAAGTGTCTGGAAGTGTCTGGGCAGATGGGTGGAGCCTTCCGCCACCGCTACTACTGGTTTGCCCAATCTGAGCTGAACCAGAAGCAACCCACCTCTGATTCAGTTCCTTAGGCTTTAAGGAAAATAACAAATATAACAAGCAAATGGATGGTGATATTTGCCTTGTATTTTTTCAGACCTACTCAGGTCTCTTCTGTGTCACTGTCAATCCCTACAAGTGGTTGCCAGTATACAACCCAGAAGTGGTGTCAGCTTACAGAGGCAAAAAGCGTCAAGAGGCGCCTCCCCACATCTTCTCCATCTCTGACAATGCGTATCAGTTCATGTTAACTGGTGAGTAAATGAATGTTTTTTGGGGGGGGGAGGAATAATAAGGTAGGGAAAACAGGAAGAACATGGCTTTTGGAATTCCTTTCAGACCCTTAAGAATAGATGCTCCCCCTGAAGAGCATCCGGAAGCTTCAGTTGGTGCAAAATGCAGTGGCCTGCATGGTTTTGTGCAGCTCTTGATGTGCACGTTTCACTTCTCCTTCAGGAACTGCATTGGTTGCCAATTTGCTTCCAGGTGCAATTCAAGGGAATTTAAAGCCCTTCATGGCTTGGGACAGGTTATCTGAGGGACCATCTCTTGCCAGTCACATCTACGTAACCCACTAGAGTGGAATGGCAAGGAAGGTTGTGGGTCACATCCTCTAGGGAGATACATCTGGCAGGACACAGAAGAAGAGCCTTCTCTGTGGTGGCTCCCTCTCTCTGGAACAGCATTCCCCCAGAGATTAGATTGGCTTCCACTCTAAACTCTTCCAGAAGGTGCTGAAGACCTGGTTCTGCCAATGGTTCTAGGGAACCCAGAGTTGGATGGAGGCCATTAAATGGCGTGTATGGATATGTATTGCCACTGGGATGGGGGTGGGGGCTATTATTTTATTATTTTTTTCCTAATTTCTTTTGTTATTTTTATTTTTATATAATGCTTGAGTTGCCATGTGCGAGTAAATGGCAATATAAAGTTTCTAAAATAAATATTTATTATCATCAATGGTAAAAAAAATCCACAAATAGATGACAAAATAAATACTACAGACAAAAATCAAACAAAAAACAAGCAGAGCAATCAAATCAACCATAATGCCTGTTATGGTTGTTAAATCATGATGGTCATAAATCGAATCATATGTGACCAGGCCTGCTTTTACAACCATTTTTTCAGCAGTCGTTAAGCAAATACAGAGACATTAAGCAAACATCTTGATCATTAAGAGAACACCATGGCTGTTAAGCAAATCCGCTGTTTGCTATGGGGGATTTTTGCTGAAAATTGGAAATAAATGCTTTTTTCAGTAAAAATGATGTAAACTGTAGTCACCGGAATGTGGGATGCTGCAAAAGGCCATGAATGAGGATCTGTCGCCAAGCTTCTGAAATGCAATCAGGGGACCACAGGAGGGGGGGTGGGGGGTGGAAGCTGTTGGAAGTTTGGAACTGGATTGTTAAATACCTTTGGGGGGGGGNTCTCTCTCTCTCTCTCTCTTTCTCTCATCTGTTGCAAGCAATAAGATAAGTAGATTTCTCCAGAGTTTTGACAAAATTCTATGTGTTTTAATCTCTGAGGAATGAACAATAACTGATTAAGAAAATGAAAAAGTGCTCTAAA